CGGCCACTGCACTCCAGGCTGGGTGACAGAGTGAGACTCCAACTCAAAAAAAAAAAAAAGCATGCTAAATAATAAATGGACTCTCACCTATTGAGGAGAGAGACCTCCCAATCCCACTATCTCTTATCTTTCTTTCTCATTCCCTCCCCCCACCTCAGGCCCTGCTCTGTGGAGGCTGGACCTTCATAGGAGGAGGCAGACAGGGCTGAGGTTCTGGGAAGGTGAGGCCCAGCAGGTGGAAATCAGGGATGGGGCAGGGGCCAGGCCAGGCTCTCCAGGACTGGAGGCCCAGGACAGGGATTCAGGCCCTGGGGAGGTCAGGCAGGGCTTCCTGGAAGAGAGAGCAGAGGGCCTGCATCCTGGCATGGAGGTTGGGGTGGGGTAGGTGGCTGAGGGGTCCCCAGGTGGAGCTGTGGCCTTACCCAAAGTGCCCAGGCCCCCATCTCTCTCTGTGTTTGGGGCCCCCAGCTGAGCCTGGCCTCTGATCTTTTCCTCAGCCCTACTTTGAAGGGAACATTCAGGTCCCTCTAGGATTCTAGGAGTGTCTGCCCCTGCTAGCCAGTTGCCTTGACCAAAGGCAAGAAAGTGGGGAGGGAAGGTGTGTCAGTTGGGGTGACCCTGCCCTGGATCATCACACACAGGATGCCCACAGTACCCCCTGCTGGCAGGGAACAAGGTCCTGAGATCCCACGTTGTCAAGAATGCTGACTTGGGCCAGACCCCAAAGCACTAACAATGCACTTGAGATCCCTATCCTTGCCATTGATCTCTGTGTCTGACTCGAGGTCCCTAACATGTGTAACCCCCAGTGCGGGGCTGAGGCGTCTGAGGCTTGGTGGTGGAAATGACTTGTTGCCATCGAGCTCCTGTCTAGAGAATCATAAAGGCTCTCACCCAGCCCCGCTGCTGTGTGTTCTTGAGGTGAGGAGTCCCTACCTCCCAAGGAGGAGAGGAGGTAGTGATTTAATGCTTACAGCACAAGGCCTGGTGGAGAGGCTGCTCAGTAAATGCTATTCCTAGTGTGTTGTTCCCTCCTCCAAGTCCGAGGGGACAGATAATTATTCCCATTCTACAGATGAGGAAACTGAGACTTAGCAGTGGTGATAAATTTGCCCCAGGCCACACATCTCAGTAGATCTCGACAGTAGTAGAGCCAGGCTTGAATCCAGCTCTGCCAGATTCCAAAGTAAATGTTCTCCGCTACCTCAGACTTGGCAGGGGCGTGAGGGTGGGGGTGGGATAGAAAAAGGGCTGAGGTCATGGGGTGGGTCTGGGAAAATGGGGTGGTGGGCAGACAGTGAGGAGTGTGGTCAGGAGGCCCTGGCAGGGCAGCCAGTGAGAGGGGTGGTCTTTCGGTCCCGGGATGCTGCTGGAGCAGGAGTGGGGACAGGCTGCCCGAGACAGGGGCGGGCTGGTGGGTGGGTCCAGGCAGGTTGGGAGGCAGAGCCTTGGCTTGACAGAGTTACTAGGGCATCCCAGCATGAGTGGTACAGCCTGGGCAGGGCGCAGGGTCGGAAGAGGTACCAGGCACAAGGTCCTGGAGGTGGTGTGCAAGTTTCAGGCTGGCCCTTGCTGGGTGTGAGGAGGCCGATGAAGGCTGATCGACTGAGCTGACCTGGGCGAGGCCTCAGTGGGGCACACCTGTGGTACCTCACAGCATTCTGAGGGAAGGACTGGCTGTACCCTATTTTACAGGTGCAGAAACTGAGGTCTAGACGGGGTTAGTTATGTGCAGAACGTCCACAGCCCCTGAGTGGAGGATGCAAACTGGTGTTTCCTTATTAAGGATGCTTCTTGGAAGAACTTGTGTCAGGAGTAAAAGCCGCCATCCGTGTGGCGTGCTTAGGGACTGGGGGCATTCTGTCATTCCCACTGTCAGGAGGAGGAGGAGGATTATCCTGGGCTTGAGCGGAAGACCGGAGGCCAGGTGAGAGGAGGTGTTTGGGTCCATTGCAGGGTCTGTCATTTTGCTGCGTGTCAGTTAGGCCCCAAGTTACAAGTCCCAGGGGAGTGCACCAGCTGCAAGAAGGGGCGGGGGGCTGGCATGGCAGCCCTGCCCTCCCAGTGGGTGTCAGCAACCCAGGGTGAGGGCAAGAACAGGCTGGTGATGACCAGCCATCAGACTTGTGGTTGGAGACAACTTGGGAGGCGTGACTGAAAGAAGTTCGGCGCCAGTAATGACTCCTCACCCGTTTAAGGCCAAGAGATTTATTAAAGCGGTGGTTACAAGGGAAAAAGGGAAAGGGTCTGTGGAGAGAGAGAGAGGAAGTGGGAGAGAGGTAGGGAGAGAGCTGCAGAGAGGGAGAGAGCAACAGAGAGAAAGAGAAAGAGAGACCGAGAGAGCGCAAAGAGTTTTTAGATATGACAACACAAAAGAAAAATAAATTGGATTTATCCAGATAAAAAAATGCTTGCATTTCAAAAGACACCATTAAGAAAATGAAAAGAAGCCGAGCTCGGTGGCTCAGCCTGTAATCCCCTGCTTTGGGAGGCTGAGGTGAGTGAATTGACTGAGCCCGCGGATTCGAGACCCACCTGGGCAACTTGGCGAGACCTCATCTTCACAATAAATCAAAAATGAGCCGGGCATGGTAGCGTGTGCCTGTAGTTCCGGCTACATGGAAGGCTGAGGCGGAAGGATCGCGGAAGCCCAGCAGGTCGAGGCTGCAGTGGCCAGGAGTGGCCACTGCACTCCAGTCTGGGTGACAGAGTGAGACTCCAACTCAAAAAAAAAAACTCCAATAAACCTGAAAAGAATATTATATCTGATAAAGGACTTGTATTCAGAATATATAACAAACTCTTACAACTCAATGATAAGAAGAAACACAACCCAATTAAAAAACGGGCAATCTCCTAGAATAGAAGGGCTAAAGAAAAAAGAGCAATAGATTTCAATAGATAAATCATCAAGAAGATATACGAATGGCTAATGAGCACATGAAAAAATGCTCAGTGTCATTAGATATTAGGAAAGTGCAAATTAAAACAACCAGATACTATATGACTACTATAATAAATATAATTACAAAGGCAGATAACAACGACTGGTAAAGCTGTGGAGAAACTGGAATAATCCTGTGCTGCTGAGAGAATGGAAAATGGGGTGGCCACTTTAGAAAAGTTTGGTAGTTACTTAAAAAGCCGTTCCACTTCTAAGCATCTATCTACCCAAGACAAATGAAAGCACATGTTCACACAAAGACCTGTACGTGAATGTTCACAGCAGCTTTATTCATAACAGCTGAGAAGTCGAAACAATGTCTATCAACTGATGGATGAACAAGTGATGAATGGTACATCCATGTAATGGAAAACTATTTGCAATAAAAAGAAGTGAAGCACTGATACATGTTACACTATGAATAAAACTTATGGACATTATGCCAAGTGAAAGAAGCCAGATACAAAAGACCAACATTATGTAATTTCATTTATATGAACTATCCATGAAAATTATTAATGTCATTCATATAAAAAATGTAGGAAAAGTAAGTATATAGAGACAGAAGCAGATCAGTACTTGTATGGGCCTGGGGGTGGGAACAGGGTAGTGACTACAAACAGGCATGAAGATCTCTTGGGGTGATGGAAATGTTCTAAAATTCAGCACAAATGATGGCTGCTCAGTTCTGTGGATTTACTAAAAAGCACTAAATTGCACAAAACAAGTGAACTTTATGGTATGTAAATCACACCACTAAGTAAATCACTAACAAAAGAAGATTTTACTCATAAACATAGATGCAAAACTCTTAAGCAAAATATCAGTAACGCAATTTCAGAATGTATAACAAAGGTAATGAAGGTGTAAATGCAATCATAGTGTTATAATTGCACTATACATAATACATAATGAAGCATAATTATAATATTTATGTGAGGTGGTATAATATTAACTCTAGGTAGACGATGATAGGTTAAGGATCAATACTATAATCCCTTGAGCAACCACTAAAAATATCCAAAGCTATATAGCCAGTAAGTCAATAGAGGACATAGAATGCAATGCTAAAAACAAAATAAAACAAAAACCTGATTAAAATAGAAGAACACAGGAAAATTCTAGCTGGCTTTTTGTAGAAATTGTCAAGCGTATGCTAAAATTTATATAAAAATGGAAGGGAACCAGAATAAGTGCAATTATTTTGTAAAAGAACAACAAAGTTGGAGGACTTAAC